ACCCCCACACCCACATGCACACACACACACACACACAAGCGTGACACGCCTGACCTGGCTGAGTTGATCAGCATGTAGAAGCTGACACCTTTATATGCCAGGAATCAGTTCATCAGAGCAACAAAATAAAATGCAGTCTGACACAAGCACACAAGTGAACAGAATACCTCTGAATCAGGATGGGTGTCCAGCTGACACCCTCATGGGCCAGCATTCAGTTCATTAGGGCACATCTGAGCCAAACTGGGTCAATCAGCCTATACAAGCTGATCCCTGTATGTGTCTCAAACTCAGCACATCCCAATTTTTTTCCCTAACTGTCCTAGTAGTGATAGGCTCTTGATGAGTGGACCCCACAGTAATTTTGGGCTTCAGGGGGATCTTTGGCTTAGGTAAAAGAAGCATTGCTGCAGAGCAAGTGGGGAAGGGGAAGTAGAGAAGGAAAAATTCACCTGGTTACCACCAGTTTGACTATAAAAGTTATTTATTGCTAGGTATATGAAATTAATGATGGTACTAGTAGTAATAGACATGAAAGGGAAAACAAACAAAAACAATTACAATATTACCCTGTTTCCATTGAGTATTTGGGGAAACCTAGCTCAAGCTTAACTAATAGAATTCAGGTTTAGAAAGCTATGCCTAGAGAGAAAAAGAGAAAGAGGGAGAAAGAGAGGGTGAAAGCTGGGATCTCACCATTTGAAGGCACTTGGGTGGTTTGTTGGCAGGCAAAGTTCCTAGCATGACAGTTGAAGGTTAAACAAGTGACCGAAAGAGACGATCTGTTTATCCCAACTTCTCAAGAACAACAGCGGATGGTGTCAGAGAGATTTCTCCCTCTTGAAGCACCCTCTTTCCATGGGGCATTTCCCCTTCTTCATTACCCATCTCTCTAACCTGCAGGGTTTCTCCTGTCTCAGACAAGCAGGAGAAAAGCTAAAGGGGTTTTTCCAGACACCTCTGTTTCCCTTATCACACTAATGATCACTATCAAAAAGTCTCTTTTACACAGTCACTCAGATCTCATGCTGACACAATATTACTCTAAAATCTTAGTTCTAAAGCACAACTCTTAACTTGTTATGGCACAGTTCTAAAGTTATTTCAGCACAGTTCTTAAGTTAAAAGATACAGGAGGTTACCAAATAGTCTATGAGAAAGGGACCTCACTGAAGGAGCTTGGTCTGATAAGAAAGAAAAGAGAGAGAGAAAAAAAAAAAAGCAAGAGAAAGCTCTCATGTCTGTGCCTCAGTTTCCCACTCTGCAGCAACTGCTCAACAATTACCACATAATTAGGGTCCCATGCTGCCCGCATTCTCCACCAATTTGTTACTAGATTTGCCCTTCATTTTGGGGGGTGCTCATTTATTAGGGGTACATTTTTAGGGTCTTTGTAATTCTGTCAATGTGCTGCTCGTGTTACTTGTGTTTCTATATGGAGCTGTATCTCCCCTTTCTGCAAGTCCTCACCCCCAATGGAGCTATCTTGCAGGACTCAGTTTGGGTTCCTCCAGCTACCAAATCAATAAAACACGCACGCACACACACACACACACACACACACAAGCGTGACATGCCTGACCTGGCTGGGTTGATCAGCACGTACAGGCTGACACCCTCATATGTTAGGAATCAGTTAATCAGGACAACAATAAAATGCAGTCAGACACAAGCACAAAGGTGAACAGAATACCTCTGAATCAGGCTGGGTGTCCAGCTGACACCCTCATGGGCCAGCATTCAGTTTATTAGGGCATGTCTGAGCCAAACTAGGTCAATCAGCCTATACAAGCTGATCCCCTTATGTGGCTCAAACTCAGGACGTCCCAATTTTTTTGCTCAAACTGCCCTAACAGTGGTAGCCTCTTGATGAGTGGACCCCACAGTATTTTGGGGTTTCAGAGGAATCTTTGGCTTAGGTAAAAGAAGCATTGCTGCAGAGCAAGTGGGAAAGGGGAAGTAGGAACTCAGAGGTAACAGGTAACAATTCAGAACCTGGATGATGACTTCTCAGCAAGGAAAGTCTCAGGTTTTGGGAGGGTTTGGGGAGGGGAAAAAAAGTATGGTAAACAATTTTTAATGTTGCAGGGTTTTCCTCACTGTGTAACAGCTAGAAAAAATGTAAAGCTTCATCTTCAAATCCAGTAATCTTAATTTTGTAATGGTGTTGTCTATTGTGTTTTAGCAATTGCCTCTTTTAAAAAAATATTATGGGAAAACTGAATTCTATTTATAGAAAAATAAATCCAGACTTTAAGGAAAAAAAAATCAGATGACACCAAGCTGAGGGGAGTAGCATATATGCTGGAGGGTAGGGCTAGGATTCAGAGAGACCTAGACAAATTGGAGGATTGGATCAAAACAAATTTCAGGAGGTTCATTAAGGAGAAGCGAAGAGTCCT